TGAAATTATCATAAATGTATGATGTGTTGCCCTTAAGACCCGTGTTCCTACGCCTTAGTTTAAGGTCACTGCTGGGGCTTAAACTTTTTCAATATTTATGTTATATATGTACATATAAATGGTGGTTGTTGTGTCCGCTCTGTAACTTCCTTATACATGAAAGTTTCAATTTTTATTTAAAAATATAAAGTCACCATAGATGGACAGTGTGTTGTGAACAAGACCTAGGTTTCTTTGTATAACATATAGTTCACTGCTGGGGTTCGAACTTTGTCAATTTTTACCACCACACTTAACATGTAATAAGTGGTTTATAACTAGAATCCTTCGGGGGCATTTGTCACGTTCTGTGACAGTTCTTGTTTTTTCTCAGTTCTCATATCGTCATAAATCATTACATTACATTTGTAATAAAAGTCTGATTTCCATAATTATAAATAACACAAATCGTTTTCTGGATTTGGCTGTATCATAATTCATAAAAGAAAATAGTATCAAATTTGCAGTTCAGTATCAAATATTGCGTATACTCCGAAAGAGCATACAGTCAAACATTATTTTTACTTGACAAAAAAAAAATCTAACATACTTTTATATCTATTAATTTATTTAATTTAGTCGGACTTTTACACTTTACATTGGAATAAGTCAATAATTCCTAGTATTTACAAACTATTTGCTTACATGTATATAGTTACTCAGTGTTAGTTTAGTTAAAGCTGCATGCCTCCAGATGAGCAAAAATATTTTATAAAATCAAACTTGAGAAAAAATGTACTGAGATTTTAAGAAAAGCAAAGAAATTCAAGATCAAAGTAAAAATTCTTGTTATGTACGATTTATGTCTGATTTTTGCAGTATTTTTCACCTTATTTCTACTGCGTTACTAAGGCAGTAAGGGCTTTTCATGCATATTTTGACCTATTTTTTGTAATGAACGTGGGTTGTAAGTGTCATTGATAATGTGTAAATTGCTTTCTTTAATTTACTATAAAATAATATACATTTTATTTCATTTTCAAAATTTTCACAAAAAATAGCATTAATCTGGAGGCGTGCTGCTTTAAGTTAGACAGAAATACCTATCTGTTTTGTGTTTATAATAATAATAATAATTATTATTATTATTAAATAATAATAATAATAATAATAATTATTATTATTATTATTATTATGTTCAACGTCCTTGTCAAAAGACTGACTAAAAAGGCCGTTAAAATTGCGATTGATTCTATACATCCTTATTTTAAGCATTAGGTAAGAGGTAGATGAATAAAACAAGCAAATTCGACATTTATTATTAAAAAATGAACAAACTTACAGTATTTATAAAAATGAAAATAAATACATTTAGTTAGGCAAAAAATAATATGCATTCACATTTTCATTTCTATATATCCGAATTTGGAATATCCGAGATGAGCCCCATTTATCTTTTATATTAGTTTTGTGACACAATAGTCTAATTTTAACTAAATTATAATTTTGTTTACAATATATAAGAAATATATTGCTATCTTTATGAGTTTAATTCAGTCAAACACACAAATTTATAAGTCTTGTATGAAACAGTTGTCGTCAAATCTGTGATTTAATTGAATTAAACAGGTGCTCTAATTATGACGTCATTATGTCGTCATAGTAACCAGACATGCCTAATAAATGTCAATTTTGAAAATGTAACACATTGTACTATACACCTTTAAGTTTTTATCAATATCTAAGATGGGGCCATTTTTGGTGCTTAGTGAACCTTGCTCTTTCTCTGCAAGTGACTGGTTTTTAATCCCACACAATTTCTGAGACATAATAAGACAATAAGATTCAATGTCTTAATTAGCTCATTTGTCATAGAGAAATCTTGCTCATCTGAATGAGAGACCCCTTGAAAACATATCCAATGCTCTCCGTATTTAGCTACTTAGCCAGTGTACATAATGTTAAAAGTTTTGTTTGTGTGTTTTTCTTGATATTTAACTTATGTTTTTGGTCTATATCTCAATCCACCAAGCTGGCTTCCCTGGATAACATACCAGTAATTACCAATTTCTCAGCAAGTGACCAACTTTTGATCCAATATGATTTCTGAATCAGCAGTATGAAATGTGACCACTAGACTCAATGTCAACTGTCTCTATGCCTGACCTAAGGATCAAATTATCCACCCCTGGATTACTCATCCATTGCTCTTCTATTGAATTAATGGGCATAGACAATAATGACTACTGAAGTCAAAAAAAAGTTGAATTTGACAGAAAATTAAATATTATATTTTAATTTAATTTTAATGATAAAGCAAAGCTAAAAATCTTACATAGATAAATTTGTCATACTTTGTATTTTAGGGGATAAGAGAAGGTTGTATCCTGCATGTGGAGGGAGACAAAGCCACTCTGAAAGGTGTTACAAATGCAAGACTCTTTGAGAGGTAAACATCTTGATCTATTTCTATATTTTATTTTATTTATTTAGTCACATATTTCCTGTTAAACTAGTGTTTGCTAGTTTATTTTATAAATGCACAGAATGTCACATTAAAGAGCCATGAAGCCTCAAAAATGGTAATATTTTTGTTTTTCAAAAGTGTTTTGTTATGTCCTTAACAGCGTTGAAGAAGTTATTCATTGGCTCTTTAAGTTAGCAATCTTTTGCTACCTTTATGTGTTAGCAATTGTGTTTAACCATTAGTATAGAAATCAAAATACCACTTTGTTTACATTTTGCTACCTTTATCAGGAATCATTTTAGATTTAACGCTATTATAACTCAAGGTGATGAACATGTAAAATGTTCAGAATCCATAATAACAACAATTTAAAATACATTTTTATGCTCCCCGAAAAAATTTCGGGGGAGCATATAGTCGCCGCCTTGTCCGTCCGTCCGTCCATCTTTCCGTCCGTCCGTCCGTCCATCCCCTTTTCTTGTCCGGGACATAACTTTGAAACAACAAGAGGTATCAACATGAAACTTTGTAGGTAGATAGATCTCATTGAGTAGGTGTGCAGTGCACAAGAACCGTAACTCTGCCTTGCCTAATTTGTGAATTATCCCCCTTTGTTTATTTTACACTTTGAACTTTGTCCGGAACATAACTCTAAAAGTATAAGAGGTATCAACATGAAACTTTGTAGGTAGATAGATCTCATTGAGTAGGTGTGCAGTGCACAAGAACCGTAACTCTGCCTTGCCTAATTTTTGAATTATTCCCCTTTGTTTATTTTACACTTTGAACTTTGTCCGGGACATAACTCTAAAAGTATAAGAGGTATCAACATGAAACTTTGTAGGTAGATAGATCTCATTGAGTAGGTGTGCAGTGCACAAGAACCGTAACTCTGCCTTGCCTAATTTTTTAATTATCCCCCTTTGTTTATTTTACACTTTGAACTTTGTCCGGGACATAACTCTAAAAGTATAAGAGGTATCAACATGAAACTTTGTAGGTAGATAGATCTCATTGAGTAGGTGTGCAGTGCACAAGAACCGTAACTCTGCCTTGTCTAATTTTTTAATTATCCCCCTTTGTTTATTTTACACTTTGAACTTTGTCCGGGACATAACTCTAAAAGTATAAGAGGTATCAACATGAAACTTTGTAGGTAGATAGATCTCATTGAGTAGGTGTGCAGTGAACAAGAACCTTAACTCTGCCTTGCCTAATTTTTGAATTATTCCCCTTTGTTTATTTTTACACTTTGAACTTTGTCCGGGACATAACTCTTAATGTATAAGAGATATCAACATGAAACTTTGCAGGTAGATAGATCTCATTGAGTAAGTTTGCAGTGCACAAGAACTGTAACACTGTCTTGCCTACTTTTGGAGTTTTTGCCCTTTGTTCATTTTGACACTTTGAACTTTGTCTGGGACATTACTCTAAAATTATAAGAGATATCAACATGAAACTTTGTAGATAGATAGGTCTCATTGAATGGAAGTGCAGTGCTTAAGAATCATTACTCTGCCTTGCCTTATTTTGAAGAAATTGCCCTTTGTTTATTTTTACTTTTTGACTTTTGTCCTGGACATTATTTTAAAACTATTAGAGATATCAACATGAAACTTTGTAGGTAGCTAGATATAATTGGATAGAACTGCAATGCTTAAAGAACCTAAACAAAGCCTGGTCTAATTTTGGAGTTATTGCCCTTTGTTCATTTTTACACTTTGACTTTTACCCGGGACATAACTCTGATATCATCAGGAAACTTTATAGATAGATAGATCTCATTGAATAGAAGTGCATTGCAAAAAAACATAACACCGCTTTGCCTAATTTTGGAGTTTTTGCCCTTTGTTCATTTTTTTTATACTTTCCTGTGTCCAGAACCTTCTCGGGGAGCATCACCCGGTTCAACCGGTTCTTGTTGCCTATGCCACCTGTGTAACATTAGGCCAGTCTCTTCACACTTAGGGACTTTGGATTCCTTCATGTGAGGAAGCTATATATATATATATATATATATATATATATATATATATATATATATATATATATATATATATATATATATATATATATACATACTTGTTTAAATGTATGGAAATTATTTAAGGTTCTTTTTTCTCTCTCTTTTTTTTGCCTACTTTATTATAAAGCCAATATTTGGTTATATTCATGTTGGACATAATAACATGTATGTCCAGTTCTTGAACAAAATGTCTCAACTTAAAATAGCATTATTATCCAGAACACTAAGTTATAACTAACAAAAAGCAAATGTATACCCACTAAAGACTGTGTAATTTGATCTACAATATCATTGCAAATATCATGAAATATGAAACATTTATTGTTCCCGATTTTTGGCATTCATTGCAAAATTCTCATCTCTAAAGTATAGGTCATGTTCATAAGAGAATAAAAATTATGAAACTTGAAAATGAACACAAAAATGCCAGGTCAATCATTGAAAGCTTTTGACATTTCCAAATATTTTTGAACGTTGTTAGTGGTATATAATAAGCATGATAGATTTTCTGACTTTATTTTTCAGAGGAAAGGAGCCTGTTGAATATGACAGTGGATCAGATATGAGCTTTCTACTGAAAGTATAAAAACATTAACTATCTGGTTAGGCCATTTCTCATCCAGCTGATGATGTATTGACTAAGAAATCTGTACAACAGCTCTTACTTAAAGTGTATAAAGCTTATATATATCTGATGCAAAAATTATTGTTTGTATTTTTAAAAAAAAAAACACTTCAGAAATGTTTGTATGAAATAAAAATGGCAATAAATTGCCTTAAAGTGAGTGGTGCATGCACAGTCAAACCCTATTTAAAATAGCAATATAATATTTTGTCTCAGAATATTTTTTTCTGTTTACGTACAACTTTTATGTGTATTAAATAACAGAGACATTCTATGTTACAACTTTTTCTGGAATCAACCATATAATAATGGAACCAATATAATTTTACTTTTAAAGATATTTCATAAGATATAGATTTATACCCTTTAATGAGTGAAGAAATATGCTAATGCTTTAATTTTATTATTTTTAACATAATATGCAATATTCCAGCAGAATATATATTCTATTGTTATATCTCCAATGATTATAGCTAGTAAAAGAGGTCAGGTATTACACTGTTTAAATTAGAGTTTTTAATGTCAGTGTTTTAGAATAGATATAAAATTATTAACTTGTAAAAGTTAAAATTAAATTATTGAATTATTTTATTGTTGACTGATTGATTGAAAACCATTGAACAAACAATACAACAAAATCATGGTTATTTAGGGAATTTCCAGTCCTGGTTTGATGATTGTCCAGTTTTGGTGGTCCCAGTCCTAGCTGTAAATGAAACTAGAAGATTCATTTCATTCGTTCATAGAATTGTTTATTTGTTAGGGGTGACATATATGGACCAATTACATATAATTATGTCAATGCAAAGGAATAACTTGAGCTTGACTATTCAAAGAATGGTGTGGCTTATTTTCCTACTAATCTTTGTGTTGGTGAAACACTTTTTAGGGTCTATATTAGGCCCTTTACTCTTCACTTTTTACATGCGACTTTTTATCTCATCAACCACTAAAGATATTTGCTTGTAACTTCAGACATGGCTTTGAGATATAATTGGAGGTCAATGTCAAAATCAATTAACTTTTGCATGGAAATTTACTGACTAATGACCCTTGTGAACTTCAAATATTCCTCATTAAAGTTTTTTGCACATTATGGATCTTCAAAACTACTGAAGATATTCATTTGAATACAATTATGTCTTCAGGATCATAATTTGTCAGTAATTTACATAATCATAAGCATGTCCTAGTTTTCTTTAATGAAATCTTCCTGTTTTGTTAGTTCCTACATTGTCCGGGCTCTTTTTTTAAGCACAATAACTCTTGTTATAATTTTACAACATATTTTTGGAAGTATTTTCTTGTGATGACAAAACATGTGTCTATATGCAATCACTCATTTACTTAAGGTTGATAAGGTTGATATTAATTTTTATTTTGTACATTAACAATAATGTAGAAATATATATTTATGTATATATATATGTTTTTGTTATATTTTTGTTAAAAGCCCTTATGTCAAAATTAGCTCCACCCCAGGGGATCATTGATTTTTCTTATATGTATATAACTTAAAAGATCTTCTTAAACGCCCAAAGACCTTAGATATTTAGCATGAAACATCTTCTAGTGGGTGTCTACCAAGTTTGTTCATATAGTAAAAACAAAACAAAATCTTCTTTAATTATACTATAAAGGATTTAGCTTAGATATTTGGTATGAAACACTGTCTGGTGGACCTCTACAAAAATTGTTCAAATTATAGCCCTTAGGTCAAGATTTGCCCCACTTGGAGGAACATAGATTTTCCTTATACATTTGTATTTATATAGTAAAAACTTTAAAACAATTTCTTCTCTCAAACTACAAGAGTTTAAGCTTAGTCTTGTTGCATGAAACATTATTTAGTAGTACACGTAGTGTGTTCAAATTATAGCCCTTGGATAAAAATTTCCCCTATTTCCTGATATAGTAAATTCTTCAAAAATCTCCTTGAAAACTACAAGGGCTCTACCTTATGGTATTTAATATGAGACATAAGTGAGCTTCTGTAAAAAAATGTTCAAATTAACGCCCTAGAGTGAAAATTGGCCTTTTCCTTCTCTTAGCAACCAGTGACTTTTCAAAGTAACCATTGACTCCAATAGTGACCATTGACTTACAATAGCAACCATACATTTCAAAAGCAAACAGTGACTTATAATAACAACCACTGACTTCCATAGCAACCAGTTACTTCTCATAGCAACCAGTTTCTTCTCATAGCAACCAGTGACTACATGACAGCCAGTGACTTTTCAGTTGCTGTTTTCATTGAAAAGCCTCTTGTTACAAGTTCAAACTGCTTTGACACTATAAAAAAGCTCAATTACTGATCAAACTGAGCACAAATGTTAACTGGACCATAGCCTTTATAACAGCATACTCAATCTTAAATTTTCATGTACCATGGCAAGGGGTGGGGGGGGGGGCATCTCAGATTGCCAAAAATCACTATTTTGCCTTGAGTTTTTCCATCAATGATTTCAAAGTGCTGCAAATTCTCAATGGATTAAGATAGAGTCAAAGGCTTTTCAATGTTGGTTACACATTCCATTAAGATTGACCTTTAGCCATTTTTAGCCTCTCACGAGTCCCAAGATTTTCTTGGCGATGTGGTGGGCCAATGCCCCCTTCAAACCCCCAAGCAGAAGGGGGCACATCCCCATCTGGCATCCCCTTGATGTACATTTTTGAAAGGGGGGGCAGTGCTGAAAATGATCACTTTTTTCAACATTTCTCAAATGAAAACAAGTGTTTAGGGTCAAAATAGGGCACCATCTTTTCACTATTTTGGACCTCAAGAAGGGGGAGGATGCAAGGGAGAAGGGGGATAGCTGAAAAGCTGTCAAAACACATCTATATGAGATAACAGGTTAATCCTGATTTTCATATTTGTGTATATCTGCACTTAAATACAGCGGAAGTTTCTTTTTTGTTTCAGTATATGTTGTTATTATTCTCATGAAGCTTTTTTTTATAACAAAATATGTAAATTAAAGTTGATATTGTATGTTGCTTTTGTTGTTGGAATTTTACCACTGACCACAACTGTCACCACTACGTATGCAATGTGCAGCAAATATTTGTTACCACATCCAAAAACAGAATGTAAAGGAAGGTAACTATTCAGAGTTGTAGATTGAATTAAATTGTTATTATAAAATTAAATAATGCAAAATATAAAGAACAAAAGTTTGAATTTTTGTATCACATTTTATTGCACATACACAGGGGAAAAAATAACAAAAAAAAGAAGGTAAAAATGGTTTAAAGATGCACTGTATGTTAAAACAAACAAAATCAAATACTTTTTTTCTTCTGAGATTCAAAAATTCATGAATGTAAATCTCAAATATAAAGTTAATACATGTACTATATAAAGATTAAAAAAAAAATTCACAAATAGCTATTCTATGCTATGCCTTCTAATTAAGTAGCAAGCAACTTGTATAGGATTAAATATGTGCTTATTTTTTTTGATACAAGCGAATAATAATAATAAATATCAGGTGTGAGATATACAATCCAAAATCAAATATCTATATAGTGTCCAGCTTTGTCATCCAATCAAAATGCTGTACTTCTTTATATATCTGTGTGTTAATTTTCATATAACAAAAGTTATTAATAGTCACCTTCTACTTTTTATAGTGCTTCATAGAACCTTGGTTGTAAAATTAGTCGTAATGTTATAAAGTGAATATTAATGAAGCCAAATAAAGCTTGACACTAAGTATTTTACGTTAGTATTCACCGTAGCTGTTCTATAGAAATTAGAAACATTCTCTGGTCGCTATCGCTCATGTCGAAGTTTCTAATTTCTGTAGAACAACACGGATGAACACTTACATATAGCAGATCAGAACAAAATATCATAATTTTCATATAAATGATCATACTTAATCACTAAGAACTCTTATCAGCATTGTGTTTCAAGAAATATCCTATAAAAATATCCAAATATGATAGATCTTTATGTCTTTTTATCAATATTTGAAATACTATGGAAAAATGTGTTCATTACAGACCAATTCACTTTAAAATCAATGCCTTTAAAATGATGTACTACGGGTAAAAATGTTATGAGAAAATAGTGAAAATCAACTACGACTTCCAAAACAGTCAACATTCTCTTTAAAGTTAACTAAAATGTATTTAAAGTTTATATTATTTTTATCAAAAAAAAAAATGAAAAGTTTATATGCATTGATACAGTTATGTTGAACAAGCTACCTGCATGTATTTTGAAGATAAACAAGCAATTATCATAGTATTGCAAGCAATCCATAAGTCCCCTACCGGTTAGAGCCCCATCAGCATTCTGAAGGGCCATAATGGCCATTCACTAATGTTTAAATTTTTGTCTATTTTAAGTAAATTTGTTGGAAATGTTCTTTAAAAGTGATCACAGGAAAAGTTTTTATGAACAGACAGACAGACGGACTGAAGGACACTCTAAAGTTAATATTTGAAACATCCCTGTTACCAAAATATAACATTTTAAAAAGCAAAATTCTTAAAGAGGAGATAACTCTGGAATTAAAGATGCAATTTCATAAAAAATTTCAGCTATTTTTGACTAATCACAAATATTGTTATATTTGCTATGTTTTAAGCCTATTTGTTGCCAAGGCAACCTATATTTTTTCAAAATAGGAAGAACAGATAAGACATGCATAATCTCAAGACTGCCATCTACCCACATGTCAAGTTTCAAAAAATATTTCCAGTACTTTTTGAGTTATCACTGGATTCAGTTTATGTGTCAAATTTGCCATATTTTCAGTCTATGTGTTGCCATAGCAACCAGAATTTTCAACATAGGAAGAAAAGAAAAAGATGTGTATAATCTCCAGACTGCCATCTACACATATTACAAGTTTCATAAAAATATTTCTATTACTTTTTGCGTTAACACTGGATCCAGTTTATGTGTAAAAATTGCCATATTTTCAGTCTATTTGTTGCCATAGCAACCAGAATTTTCAACACAGGAAGAAAAGAAAAAGACGTGCATAATCTCCATACTGCCATCTATCCATATATCAAGTTTCATAAAAATATTTCCAGTACTTTTTGCGTTATCACTGGATCCAGTTTATGTGTAAAATTTGCCATATTTTCAGCCTATTTGTTGCCATAGCAACCAGAATTTTCAACATAGGAAGAAAAGAAAAAGACGTGCATAATCTCCATACTGCCATCTATCCACATATCAAGTTTCATAAAAATATTTTCAGTACTTTTCAAGTTATCGCGGGATCCAGTTTTGTGGACGGACGGACTGACAGACGGACGGACAGAGGGTAAACCTAAAGTCCCTTCCGGTAAACCGGTAGGGGACTAAAAAGAAGCACTAAGTATATTGGTTATTGAAAAAATGAAAATCTAAGATCATTTTTATTGTGCCAACTTTAAGCAAAAAAACAAAGAATATAAAGCAATAAAAACAAGCAATTATCATAGTATTGCAAGCAATCCATAAGTCCCCTACCGGTTAGAACCCCATCAACATTCTGAAGGGCCATTCACTAATGTTTCAATTTTTCTCTATTTTAAGTAAATTTGTTGGAAAAGTTCTTTAAAAGTGATCACAGGAAACAGTTTTTATGAACAGACAGACAGACGGACTGAAGGACACTCTAAAGTTAATATTTGAAACATCCCTGTTACCAAAATATAACATTTTAAAAGCAAAATTCTTAAACAGGAGATAACTCTTGAATTCATAAAAAATTTCAGCTTTTTTTGACTAATCACAAATATTGTTATATTTGCCATGTTTTAAGCCTTAATTTGTTGCCAAGGCAACTGATATTTTTTCAAAATAGGAAGAACAGATAAGACATGCATAATCTCAAGACTGCCATCTACCCATATGTCAAGTTTCTTAAAAATATTTCCAGTACTTTTTGAGTTATCACTGGATTCAGTTTATGTGTAAAATTTGCCATATTTTCAGTCTATGTGTTGCCATAGCAACCAGAATTTTCAACATAAGAAGAAAAGAAAAAGACGTGCATAATCTCAAGACTGCCATCTACCCATATGTCAAGTTTCATAAAAATATTTCCCAGTACTTTTTGCGTTATCACTGGATCCAGTTTATGTGTAAAATTTGCCATATTTTCAGTCTATTTGTTGCCATAGCAACCAGAATTTTCAACATAGGAAGAAAGAAAAAGACGTGCATAATCTCAAGACTGCCATCTACCCATATGTCAAGTTTCATAAAAATATTTCCAGTAATTTTTGCGTTATCACTGGATCCAGTTTATGTGTAAAATTTGCCATATTTTCAGCCTATTTGTTGCCATAGCAACCAGAATTTTCAACATAGGAAGGAAAGAAAAAGACGTGCATAATCTCCATACTGCCATCTATCCATATACCAAGTTTCATAAAAATATTTTCAGTACTTTTCCAAGTTATCGCGTGAT